AATAGGCGAAACACAAACACACATACACACAATGACAATTTCTCTAAGAAAGGAATGTGCTTTCTGATATTATCCCTCAGTATCTTGTAAACAAATACAACCAGACAGAGCTCTAAAACTGTCATAAAAATATAATGCACTTACTGAAAATACCCTGGGGGAAAAGGTCTGTTTTCCAGACACTGAGATGTGGCTCTGTTAGCATTATTTATTCTTTTATTCAGAGCAACGAACAGTGCTAAAAATATGATCTGTGTTCCCACATGGACAAATAGGAAAGGCTATAGATCTTCTATCTCGTTCAGAAACATACGTATTTACATTAATGAAACATACTGAGAATAACAAAACAACTCAATTTCATCTCTCCATTTGCTTTAATCCTCAGCAGTGTATCCACTCGTAAAGAATGCTCAACACAAAAATACAATCATTCTGTTTTTATTGTTGTTTTTATTTGCACTGCAGGTACACAACATCCTCTCCAAGGTACATAATGGATCAATACGTCAGGCCACCTAAAGAATTTAACAAGTGAAAGTTGTTGACGTACACAATATATTGCTCCTCAAACTGTGAATAGAAAAACCTTGCATTCAGAAAAGTTCTCACTTACAGTGTATAGAAGTATGAGTAAAGCTAGGGGACTAAAAAGTAACCACTGCATACGTTTGAATAGATGTTTTGCTCTGTTTTGTGCAGGCTGAACGAAGTGCTTCACGGTCATAGTTGGAATTGTGTGTGTTCCTGACCCTGCTCTGCCTCTCTCTCCTGACACTGTGTGATGCTAGCTTGTTGTCATATTCTCATCCACGCTGCTGTTCTTTATCCTGCATTCATCAGCTCAACTCACATAACTGCTGTATATGGGCACAGATCCAATCATTACCTCTTTGTCCGAACATCGCCGTCCCTCCTGATATCGTTGCTTCAGCCGAGCTTTTGTCACTCTTGTTTGTTGTGCCTGTCCACTTGAGCCCTAACCACGCTCTTCCTTATTCTGTCCCAGGGATGGTGATATTGATACAAATAACTGAAAATTAAATTGAAGGTGGAGCTACAAAAATTGGAGAGAGATGCAAGTAATATTCAAACACAGCAGAAGGTCATCTTTGTCATGGTAACATCACAAAAACGTGATTATTTATATAGGATTATACATATAAAAGTTATTTACATATAATTCTAATCACGGACATTAAGAGCACAAACCTGAAAAAATCTTTGACTGGAACCAACTGCAAGAACTTCTGCAAGTCAGACATTCTTTGACACAAAGCTAAACAAAGCAAGGCATTTCTCCTGGTATGGAGAAAAGTAATTCTGAAGCATCAGTTACCATGGTGACTAAAATAAGCCAGACTTATCAAAGTAAACCAGGATTTGCATTCAACCACTGCTCTGTTCATCATGCGCAGCCAGCTCCCTCACACTGTTACCTGGACATCCCTACACATGGTCTGCTCCCCCAAATTCCTGTCACTGCACACTGAGCCACATTGTTTGTGTTGTTATGCTGCAGGGTACAGGGTTAATGCAGGTGATGCTGGCTGCTCTCCACTCCAAGTGTGCACCCTGTGGAATTACAGGACCCCATTATTTTGTAGACCTTTAAGATATGAAGGCCTCTAACACTGATCCTATAATAAGCCACATGCATTTCAGTCCATTTATCTCCATTATGTTTATCCCAATAAACTGTCTTTAAGTTTGAGTAGTGCCACACTCCCGACTCTGTAAACATTAACCTCTGATCGAACACATTAAGGCCCATTTGAAATGTATCTATGCTGCACTGCTCAACTAATTTCCTGGGCCTATAATTCAAGCCTTCAGCCGCTCTGCTCCCCACCTCTGGAACTTCCTCCCACTAGACATCCGTAACATTGACCCTCTCTCCATGTTCAAATCTTGTCTCAAAACCCATCTTTTTAAACTGGCTTATTCAGTTTGATTGTTTTCCCATTTAGCCAACCTACATGATTTATTCACTGTTCATCTTTTTTCATGATGCTTTGCAAGGTGACCTTGAGTGCTGAGAAAGGCCCCTATAAATAACATTTAGACTAGGTTGGTATATGATATGTGCTACTCACATAGTTAATTACACATTACAATGGGACTGTACTACATCCTGCAACACCTCGACTCTGCAGGGACGTACGCCAGGATCCTGTTTGTGGACTTCAGTTTGGTGCTCAACGCCATCGTTCCAGACCTCCTCCACACCGAGCTCACCCAGCTCACTGTGCCCTCCTCCACCTGTCAGTGGATTACAAACTTCCTGACTGAAAGGAAGCAGCAGGTGAGGTTGGGGAGCATTACATCCAGCACCCGGACTATCAGCACTGGCGCCCCCCAGGGGTGTGTGCTCTCCCCACTGCTCTTCTCCCTTTACACCAACAACTGCACCTCTAAAGACTTGTCTGTTAAACTCCTGAAATTTGCTGACGACACTATGATCATCGGCCTCATCCAGGACGGTGACGAGTCTGCTTACAGACGGGAGGTTGAACGGCTGGTCTGCTGGTGTGGTCAGAATAATCCGGAGCTGAACACGCTCAAAACTGTGGAGATGACGGTGGACTTTAGGAGAGCCCCCCCACTCTGCCGCCCATCACCATCACCAACAACTCTGTGACTGCTGTTGAAACCTTCAAGTTTCTGGGCTCCACAATCTCCCGGGACCTGAAGCGGGAGACCAACAGAGTCACCATCATCAAAAAGGCTCAGCAGAGGTTGCACTTCCTGCGCCAGCTCAGGAAGCTCAACCTGCCTAAGGAGCTGCTGTCACAATTCTACTCTGCCATCATTCAGTCTGTTCTCAGCTCCTCAATCACTGTTTGGTTTGGATCGGCCACAAAACAGGAAAAAAACAGACTGCAATGGACTATAAGGTCTGCAGAGAAAAATTATTAGTGTCAGCCTGCCCTCCATCCAAGACCTGTACCTGACCAGAGTCAGGAAACGGGCAGGTAACATCTCTGCAGACCCATCACACCCTGGATACAAACTGTTTAAACTTCTCCCCTCCGGAAGGCGCTACAGAACACTTTGAGCCAAAACATCCCGATATAAGAACAGTTTTTTCCTTCAGGCTGTCTCTGTGTCAAGCAGCTAAAAACCAAATATCAGTAATATCACCTGTAAAATATCTGTACATACCAATATACTGTGCACACTGTATATGTATATAAAAGTGATTGTCCAGTCTTACGATAACAATCAAAGTCCCATTAGAACAAATGAATGGATTCAAAAGTGAAATGCTGGAGGGCTTTTACTTTGTATCGGGTTTGGGAAGTGTTGTAAATACATTTGTGACAAAGTTGAAACCATGGACTGTATATAAAGATGGATGTGGTGTCCGTGACGTCACCCGTTGGTTTTTGAAGAGTGACCTGCTGCTAACCGGCTAGCGCTGCGGTGTTGTTGCTCCGGGATGGTCATTACAACGAACCAAACAGAGGTAAGTTACCCTGAAACTATACAACAACAAAACCTATTGATTAATCTATTATCATAATCATACTATATATACTTACAAACCTATTGATTCATCTATTATCATAATCACACTACATATACTTACTAACCTATTGATTCATCTATTATCATAATCATACTATATATACTTACTAACCTATTGATTCATCTATTATCATAATCACACTACATATACTTACTAACCTATTGATTCATCTATTATCATAATCACACTATATATACTTACAAGCCTCAAGTGGTTTTTAATGTTAAGTTTGAAGCCATTTAATGACCCCATATGAAGTTTTCACGTCTTTAGTAAAGAGTTGTGTGTTTAGTTGTCACTTAATTAGAATTATGAATTGATATTATAATAACTGAAATCCTCAATATAATAGCTACATAAGTTGCATGTGATAGTAACTATATGTTTAACACACGTTCTCATCGATACAGACTCTTATAACCACCATCACTATTGCCACCTCGTTTTTTAGCCTACAGATTCACAGTGAATCAGATGTGATTATAATCTCCACACACCACAGTTGTAAACAGTGCTCCTTTTTATTACATATTTATCTGTTTTGACACTCAGAGAAGTTGAGGGACTTGATGTGGACTGTTATCAAGAGCACTGTGAGAGATTATCACCTTGAATATTACAGATGTGGTAGAAAGACATTTTATATATTTGTACAATGTTTATTTCTTTAAGTACATCAGTAAACAGTATCTGTAAACAGTTACAGACAATCTTTAATCTGAGGCGCTGCATCTTTGTTCCACATTATACTACAGATGTGATATAGTGATTTCAGTATAAAGCATCCTTTACAATGATTTTTTTCATTTCATTTCATAAAGCACTGCAGCATCTGATGTCCTCAGAATCTACTGGGAGCAGCAACATGGTGGAGATCGGCAGCTTCAGGCTGGTCAGGTGGCCACTCAGTGAACTGCAGCTTTTTGCACTTCCGCATTGGCCTCATCGCTCAGCCCCAGTTGTTCCTACATGGTGATTTGATTAAAGAGAGGGGGAGGAGACAGTTTAACTGAAAATGTTTTCAGAGTTAGTTTGAACTGTGAAGAGCAGAGGGAGGAGAAG